GGTTTTCTTTTCAAGGGAAAGCATTGAAGGATCACTGGGGTGCGTGTATCATTTTGGTTACTTGATATTTTTGCAAAGAAAATGGACCTTGAAAATTCTGGACTGATGCAATTAGATGTTTTTGCTTTCCACTAAGAATACAGACTCGGGATAGATTGATAATGGCTTACTTTTGTATTAATTTTAAAAGATTTTGTCATGAAAACACATTTGTAACAATTACTACTATTCTTTTTTTACTTTCCTTTAGAAAAGGCATTTGTTCTGAACAGATAATCTAAACAGTATTAGTATCAAGAGACTTGCTAAAGATGCACACAAACACAAAGAGGCTTATGTATGCACAAAGTTGCTTATCCCGGCATATATGTAGAGCAGATAGGTGCCAATTATGAGAATTTAAAAACTATTCTGCCTCTCCCTGTAATAGGGAAGAGGGAAACAAGTTTAGATAACATATCTAACTTGACTTTGGTGAGTAAAAGTATTGCAAAATGTGTCAGGTGTAATGGCAATACTGTAAATTGTTCATTATACTTCCATATTAGAAAGTTCTTAACTGTTGAATTGGTCTGCATGAAACTACAAAATTTACTAAAGTTCTGCTTTAGCCAGTGCTAATCAATAGGAATCTAGAGCAGGGGTCCCCAACCACCGGTCTCCGGATCGGTAGCGGTCCGTGGATCATTTTTTACCGGTCCGCAAAGCTTGTGCGCCGCCATCTTGTTTCGACGGCGCTTCCGGGTTTTCGGTTGCTTCCGGGTTTTCGGTTGGAAAGTGCTTCCGGGTTTTCAGTTGGAAAGCAGCGTTTGGGTGCTCGCGCCTTAGTTTTGTTGAAGGGGGGGCGGCTTCGAACGAAGAGCCGTCCCGATGGCGGTGGAGTCTCGCGTTACTCAGGTACCGGTCCGTGGAAGAATAAATAATTGTGAAACCGGTCCCTGGTTCAAAAAAGGTTGGGGGCCACTGATCTAGAGAGCCTCAGTAGCATAGTGGTTAGAGTGCTGTACTGCAGGCCATTTCTGCTGACTACCAGCTGCCTGCAATTTGGCTCTTCTAATCCCACCAGACTCAAGGTTGACTCAGCCTTCTATCCTTCTGAGGTGGGTAAAATGAGGACCCAGATTGTTAGGGGCAATATGCTGACACTGTAAAACTACTTAGAGAGGGCTGTAAAGCTCTGTAAAGCTATATATAAGTCTAAGTTCTATTGTTATTACTAACCTGCCTCCGGATTTCTTTCCAGATGCAAATTCGGAAGAGGAGGAGTCAGGAGAAGGGACCGCAGAGCTGCATGAGGTCTCAGATTGGGGTTCAGCGGGTGTGGGGCTGGATGAACAGCCACAGCCAGGTTGATCAGACAAGCGACAGGCTGAACCCAAGCGTGGTCCGTGGGAGTATATGTGAGCAGGGCAGCACAGTGGGATAGAATAAGCATCTTCATCTGTGAAACTGGTGCTTTAGCCAGTTTGTCATCAGTGAAGCTAGGTGAGCAGTAATGCATTCAAGGCAAGCTAGGAATAGTATTCGAGAGCAGCCACTTTCAGCCTCAGTGGAAATCTTGAACTCAGCATGGAAAACCAACTCCAACAGGACAATATTCATGCACTTCCCTGCACTTCCAAAGTTGCTATGGAGTCCAGGAGTTCACCATGGGACAGGAAAGTAATAGAGGGACAGGAAGAAGAGCAGCTACCAAGGCAATGGTCCGATAAAAGGGGCTCAATTCCAGGCCAAGCATGTAGTGTGAATAAACACATCTCAGACAAGCCCCTCTCTAATTCAGGAGGGAGGGAGAAGCACATTCAGATTTGCGAGATTCTGCTACTATAACATTGCAATCAAAGTAGTTCTGACCTATGGTAAAGAGCATTGACTTCCTAGACTGTCTACCTTGAAAACTGACAAAATCTCAGAGCTGCATGCCCAAATAAGATTTAAAAAAAGGTTTTTGGGATTTTCTCAGACAATGGCTTTAGTGAGGAGAAGGCAGAAGAGTGAAAGGGAGGTAGCAGTACAATCAGGTCTTGACAGGTCAACTTTAAATAAGAATGATCTTTGTAATTGCATTTTGCTGAATCAAATCTATTTTTGCTGTTCTTGCAATCACATGTCCATCTTGCCTAACTTGCTCAGGTGCATTTGCATTAACCATTCATATCTCTGCTTACAGTTCCTAATTTTGATACAAATCAGTGGGCTAGTGTGAAAAGAAAAGGTGGGCTTGGACAGACAGAATGTGTGAATATTTTTGAGTTCAGTGTTGCCTTAAGATGAAAACGATTTCCTTTGAATGATTGCCCAGAAGCGGATACTAATTTTTGCAGAATATTGTTTTGCCACAGATAACAAAATGGCCAGGGTAGTCATGATGGAGAATCAGTTCACAGATTTCCAAATAGCCTTGCAAAATTGTGCCACAGTCCAAATTTGGGGTTATATTTTCTGTCTCCCTTCCCTCCCTATCAAAATGGTATCAGACTGTAACAGATGATCTGAAGATTGGTTTGTGGTAGTTTTGGGGTGAGTGGGCAAATTGCATAATTAATCAACCCTCTATTTCTGGGGTAGGAAGGTGAAAGAAAAGTTATCTGTCATCCAGGTCATAGTTGTCTCAGGTTATTAAGCAGAGGAAAGAGAGCAGGAAGGAAAACAAAAGAGGCCTAGAAATGGGAAGGTTAAGATTTCATAACAACTTTCTGGAAACCAGTCAGTATGTAAATTTCATTTTTTTTTAAACAGGAAAGAAACCTGAATATTTGGATTTAATGCCAGGAAGTTCAAGTTATATTCTCAATTTTTGGAGAACAGATATGTGTGGCCATGACAGAATCCATGACATCTGACACATTTTACAGTTCCATTTAAATATTTTTCCATTATTAATTTCGCTTATTTAATTCATTGCATAAGATTTCTTGGATCACCTCTAGTAAAAAAGAGTTTTTAAAATCATCAAAATACACACACACTGTCTGGATCCAACTGGAAGTTACATTTAACAACCATTTAACAACCATATGCCTATCATATCTATATGAAAGAAATCAGTGAAAAGTAATTCAAGACATGATTAGAGAGTTATATTAATTCCAATTTTAATAAATTTCAGGGAAATTGGACCATATTTAAGGTTGGTTTTGACTCCAAACTCTACTCTTTTCAGAATAACTCTTAACAAAACATTTCCTTCTTTCCCGCAAGACTCTAGTTCAGATTCTTACAGTGTGTTAATGGTATTGCTAGTTAATAACAAAGCCTTCCCTTGGCTTTCTCTGGAGAGGCCTTAGAGAGGATATTTGCCTGCATAATTTCAGATTATTTCATAAAGACGGTTATCTTCTTGGAAAGGGCCAAGTGGGGCAACCAAAAAGAACAGAGGAGATCAGGCATCTTAGAACCTTTTGTTCTAAGCCAGTTGCATGCAGTGGTTAGGGTTAGGGTAGAAAGTGGGAGGCCACGATTTCTAGTCTCTCCTTAGATGTGAAAGCCAGCTGGGTGACTTTGAGCCAGTCACCTCGATGTGTACCCCAATGTAGGGGTACTTCCCTCCATGTAGACGTGGAGTATCAGATTGGAAGTTTCATAAATCCCACCTCTTGGGATTCTTTATTGCAACATATTAGCATGAATAAAGTAAAGGAGTCCCAAGACATAATTAGTACAATCAACCTTTCAAGCCCAGAAAAGTCAGGAAAAGCTAGCATTTTTGTGAAGATGAAAGAAAGAGAGAAGGATGTGTGTTCAGGACCTGAAAGAGGAGGATGTAGATGTCTTCTGTCTCTGACCAGCAAACAGGTGACCGTTCTTTCTGCTAATCTAGAGCAGCTCATCAGTTGATCACCTCCCCCCCCCCCCCAATGCCTGATGTCCAAGTAGACCCCAAGTTTATATGACCCAGATGTTGGAAAAACATCTGAATATAGACCAAACAGCCCAGATGAATCTTGGAAACATTTTTTTAACCAGGATTCAGAACAGAATGTAGGCTGAAAGAGTTCAATACTGGATCCAACTGGAAGTTACATTCAACAACTTTTAACATTGTAGTGCCTCTCCTGTAGTCTTTTGGGATATTTCACATATCCCTCCTTGGAAAAAAAAATGCCGCTACTTGCATTCTTAACTAATTTATGACCCTGCATTGTGAATGGTCTAAATCCTTACCCAGATCTCTTCCAGCCCTCCCTCCATCAAAGAGAAATGTTCAGAAGATAGGTCACAAAGGCATGGACCATTTTAATAATATTATTTCGATCCATGTGATTGACCATCTCACCCACCACTCTGGGTAGCTCATAATACCTTAAAAAAAATGGTAACAATTTCAGCTGATAATGATCAAGCACATTGTTTTACCATGCTTCAAGTGTTTGCCTTGTGCAGACCAAATCACCAATACTCTCTTGTAGTGGCGATGGGGGATGATTAAAAAAACAACCAGGGACTGTATTCAGATACAGATACAGATAATCAGGGTTGGAAGGGGCCTTGTAGGTCATCTAGTCCACCCTCCCAAGCAGGAGATTCACACAAGCTTTTCTCCCCCACCTCTCCTGCACTCCCGTCTGTACCTTATGATTCTCGACTCTAGACGAATGTACGTTTTCTTTTATGTACACTGAGCGCATTTGCACAAAGACAAATTCCTTGTGTGTCCAACCACACTTGGCCAATAAAGAATTCTATTCTATTCTATTCTATTCTATTCTATTCTATTCTTTTTCTTTAGTTTACAGCTCAAGTTATTTTTTTATAGGAATAATCGATTATTCAGG